TTACAGGAAGAAATTTGGGAAATCAAAAAATACGTTGAAATTAAACATGATACCCCTTAGTAACCAATGGATCAAAAAAATGACACTAGAAGTTAGAGAATACTTTGAGATAAATGAAAATGAAAACAGAAACTTACAGAATGAAGCAGAGAAACTTACAGGATGAAGCAGAGCAGTGCTTTGAAGGAAATAACAAAGATCTCAAATTCGTAACCCAGTTGACCACCAAAAGAAACTAGAAAAAGGAGAGAAAACCAAACCCAAACCAAACAGAAGGAAATAATAAATATCAGAGCAGAAATGCATGAAATAGAGAATTTTAAAAATTGAGAAAAATCAATGAAAACAAAAGTTGGTTCTTTGAAAAGATCAAGAAAATTGACCAGCTAGACCAAGAAAAAAAGGAAGAGACTCAAATTACTAAAATCAGGAATGAACTAGGAGACATTACTAATGACCTTACAGAAATAAAAAAGAGTTATGAGAGAATCCCACGAATACCAGCGTGCCGACAAATTAGGTGACCTGTGTGGAATGGACAAACTCCTAGAAAGACGCAGGCTACCAGCGCCGACTCAGAGGGACCAGCAAGCCTGAACAGACCTGTAACAAAGAGAATGAGTTAGAAATGTTCGAAAAATTACTATAAAGCGAAGCCCAGGATCACACGGCTTCACTGGTGAATTTCACCGAATATTCAAAGAAGAATGAACACCAATCCTTCTCCAAATCTTCCCCCAAAATAGAAGAGGGAACTCCTCCCTACTCATTCTACAAGGCTAGTGTTACCCCAAAACCCAAACTAGACAAAGTCGTCTAGGAAAGGAAGACTGCCGATGAACATCCCTCATGAGTGCAGATACACACATGGTCAACAAAACACCAGCAAACTGCGTCCAGCAGCATTAAAAAAAGATTATTCAAACAAATGCAAGGTTGGTTCAACATATAAAAATCGATCCATGTAATACAGCATGTTAATCGATTAAGGACAAACACGATCATCTCAATAGAAACAAAAACAGCATTTGACAAAATCCAACTTGTAGTCACGATAAAAGCACTCCATAAACTAGGACCCAAAGGGAACGTTCTCACACGGGGTTCTGTGAAAAACCCATTGCTAGCGTCGTGCTGGACGCTGAAAGCCTGAAAGCGTCCCCCTGAAGCAGGAGCAAGATGAGGATGCCCCTCCTGTTACTTCTCTGCAGTGTTGTGCTGGAGGCTCTGGCCAGGGAGACCAGCAAGAAGATGAGCTGAAAGGCAGGCGCATTGACAGAGGAAGAGAAAACTGTCTCTGCTTGCAGGCGACATGCTCTTGTGTGGAAAATACCGGCGCTAGTGAAAGGAAGTTAGAAAGCGAGATTACAGATACAAGGTCAACACACAAAGATCAGCTGCATTTCTACACACCAGCAACGGACAGTCTGGAAATGAGGTCAAGAGCGTGAGTCCATTCACAGCAGCAGCAAAAGGGATGAGATGCGTAGGAGTAAGTTTAAGCAGCGGAGTGCAAGACTCGCGCACTGGAAGCTGTGGAGCATTGTTGGAACAAGCGAAAGATCCAGTACATGGAAAGACACCTCGTGGTTGTTAGTTGGAAGAATTAAGACCGTTAAGGTGGAAACACTCCCCAAATTGATCTACAGACTCATGACAATTCCTGTCAGAACTCCAGCTGCTTTTTTTCCCTCCAGAAATGGAAATGCTGCTCCTGAAAATCATGTGGGATTGTGAGGAGCCCCAGAGCCCAGGTGGCTTCCAGAGGAAGACCTAAGTGGGAGGCCGCACACCTGCCGACTTCAAGACGCACTGCAGAGCTGCAGCAGCAGGATGCGTGGCCCTGGCCCAGAGCGGGCGTGTTAGCGACGGTCCAGAAATAAGCCTTTACGTTCACGGTCAAGCCATTTTTGACGAGGGCGCCCAAACCATGCACTAGAGGAAAGGTCTTCACGTGTTGCTGAGACAAACAGACGTCCACGTGGCAAGAGAATGAAGTTGGCTCCCACCTCACACCATACATAAAATTTAAATCAAAATGGATCAAGGACATAGATGTAAACACGAAAACTGTAAAACTCCAAAAGAAATCTTAGGAGTAAATTTTGTGACCATGGATTAGGTAACAATTTCTTAGATTTGACCAAAAATGTGAACAACCAAAGGAAAAATGGATAAAATATATTTCATCAAAATGAAAAACTGTTGTGCACCAGCAAGAAAGAGGCAACCCACAATTTAGGTGAAAATAATTGCAAATTGTATGTTTGATAAAAGTTTAGTATCCAGAATATATAAAGAACTCTTTCAACTCAATAATAAAAAGACAACCCAATTAAAAATAGGCAAAGGGTTTGAATGGACGTTTCTCCAGACAGGACACACGCGGGGCCAGCAAGCATATGAAATATGCTTCGGGAAATGCAGATCAAAACCACGACTGGATGCCAGCTCAGTAGGATGGATATAATTTTTTTTAAAGTTGGATAATAGCAAGTGTTGGCGAGGATGTGGAGAAACTGGAATCCTCCTGTTTTGCCAGTGGGAGTGTGAAATGGTGCAGCTGCTTTGGAAACTAGTTTGGCACATCCTCAAAACATGAGGCATGAAGTTACCACACGACACAGCAATCCCACTCCTGGGCCTCTGCCCAGCAGACCCGGGAGCTCGTAGTCCAGGGGAGGAGGTTGGATGACCCAGTTGCAGGAGAGGCGGCAGCAGCGTCCCACCCCCAATGAACCCAGGCCCCCGGGTCCACGCCTGCGATGCCACAGATGGGGCAGGGTGTAAGTGGGCTCTGGACAGGGTGTGAGGCTCGTGTCACCCCTGGGCTTTGCCCACCCAGGTTTGGCTCGCAGCTGGTAGGTGAGGGGAGGCGTGGGTGGGCTTGTTCCCAAGACCTCGGTTCACACATTAGCCAAGGGTCCACGGCAGCTGCAGCTGGCGAGTCTGAACAAGCCGGGTGCTCATGTCACCTGTGCCCCCAGGGGACCAGTGCCCTGGCTCCTGGTTCCCCGCCGGGACCCACATCTCCTTTGCTGGCCTCATCAGTGGCCTGAGCATGCCTGGAG